AAGACTGGTATGAATAAGTCTTTTGTAATATGGAAGAATTCTCTGTCAGCTTCGGATACAAAAGCAGTTTGGTTCAATTGTAGCTATACCTCACAACTGGGAATAAAAATATATCTCTAAATAATGACATAGAAAGCTATGTTTTCTATGTGGAATATAAATGCCCTCCTATTTTTCCTCAATAGGAAGATTTTGTTGCTGATTTTGTTGAGGAAGAACACTTTTTTTCAGCTGTAATGACCTGAAAATTGTAATGTCTCCCTTTCACCCATGGAGCAGTGGAACAATTAGGTGTCTCTAGGCAAGATCCCCATAAGACGTTCCTGCAGTTTTCCCCCTTGTTACAGGTGGTTCACTTTCCTCTTATTCAGTTGCTCTATTTCCTCTCCTTAAATTGACAGAGTATATCAGGAAAGAGTCTTTTTCTGTCCTTCCTTTTCCTTTTCCTTGCCAACTTATGGACATTCACGCCTGGTAAAGTGGTGCCCCTGGAATGAATGATGGAATATTTCACAATGTTGCTTATGAAACAGAAGTAGGGGGATAGATGGAGTAAATACTGGAGTTGCTATGCTCACATTCTTACCATCTTCACTATCTTACCCAGAAATTCTTAGGAAGGAAAGGCTTTCCCCCAATGAAAAAGGAAACCAGCCAAGTGCTGAAGCAGTCTCTGCTGATGGTTGGCTGAGCAAATAATAGTAGGAGGTAGAAGAAGAAGAGGAAAAAAATCTTTATATTTTCTAATAGGGAGGATGAAAAATTGTAACGGAGCTATCTGAGTAGCTTGCCTTATCAGGTAGCATTGAGAAAAATATTTCTTTTAGATCCTATGGCAGACATGTCAAACACAAGGCCCGCGGGCCGGATGTGGCCTGCAAAGTGGTTTCATGTGGCCTGCGAAGCCATCCTGGAAACAGTGCGGGAATGGCCCCCTCTGCCTTGGCCCTGGCCCAGGCCAGCCGGGAGCCAATGTACAATGTTGTGGTGGCCATCTATGCTGAAATGCATTCAGTCTTAGCTCCATAAGCCCCCTCCCGCATGGCCTGAGAGGAACAGTGAGGCTCCTCCAGTGGACCATGTCTTGGCACTTGCCCTGGTCCTACCCCCTTCTGCCAGAGATCCTCAGACCTATCCCACTCCTGCCCAGGCCCCCACAGGCACCTTTGACGTAAACGATATAGAGCTGGCCACACCCACCCAGTAGGCCACACTCACTCCATCCATGCCCACCCAGTAGGCCGCACCCACCTGCCCCCCTGAGGGCAACCGCAATGCTGATGCGGCCCTCAATGAAATTGAGTTTGACACTCCTGTCCTATGGAGACAGATGAAGTGTCTGTTGGCTTTAGTCATGGGCACTTATCTCTAGTATGAGTGATAGAAGACACGTTGAAATATTCTGTTGATTGGCATGCTTGGTATAGTGGAAGGCTTACTCTTTGAAGAAGGATATTATCTGTTCTTGGTGTTACTGGGATCATCATCTAGTTTTAGCTTGTTACTATTGCTTGTAAATCTGGCAAATTGCACCAGTGACCTTAAGAAGCTTATGTTTCATGTTTGGCTTCCACTTGGAAAAGTGTGCTACATAAATATTCATACATTCACATATTCAGCAACTTAGTTTCCTCTGAAATTTGACCATATGAAGAATGAACAAGGGTCAACTCTGTGGCTGAATCTGTAAAATTGACTTTTTCCTCCCCAGAGTTTCAGTTTGCAGAATTAGTTTATTATGATCCATGTGTCCCAGAGTTATAGTTGGTCTTGGTACATTTGCTTCAAAGTAGACAAACTGATTTTAAATAAGAATTAAGTTTTGTAGGTTGCCTGTATGCTTAGGCACTCTCTTTCTGCAACTTTATGAGTTTGAAATGTTAGAAATTATAAACGAATGGTTCAAAACTATGAATAGTGCTTTAAATATCTTTGTTTTCCTCACAAATAAGCCAAAATAAACTATCTGCCAAGATTGCATCTGTTGTCTTTAACACACACACACACACACACACACACACACACACACACACTCATAGCATATATATACTATTTTGCAGTCTTACCATATATGTATTCTGTAGTGCAAAATTATCTTGTTTTACTTTTGAAATATCTTTCACATTTTTCTCCTGTTCTTCTTATTCCATGTAGTTGTTTTGATAAGTCTATAGAGGAGTGGAGACAGTTCCATTGTGATCTAAATGATCTCTCACAGTGGCTAACAGAAGCAGAAGGGTTGCTGGCTGAAGCCCACGTTCCAGATGGCAGCCTGGATATAGAAAAAGCCAGGATACACCAGCAGGTAACTGATTACTATGTATTAAGCCCAGGACTCCAGTCAGAGCCTTTAATTCTCCTTTTGTCACAGAAGAAAGTGGCAATTGTCAGGCTTTGTAATGTTGGCAGCTAGGAGCTGTACAAAGCATTTGAAGGGCTGCTTTGCAAAGTGCATTGGTCCTGTTTTCAAAGCCCAGTGCGGTTGCTTCAAGAGTTTGTGCATATATTACATTACACTTCTGTTGGAACTGCCAGCAAATCAAAGGGGCTGCCATTGTGTTTCAAAGGTTGTGCCATCGCATTTTGCTTGAATACATTGATTAGCCCAATTAAAACATATAAAGTCGACCACATGAATTGTATCGAGACATCATCTGCCTAGCTTCCAAGGATGTTGATGAAACAAATAGAGTGAATTAAAAAAAAGTAAAGGAGCCAGTGCTTTCATTTCGTTTGGAGAAGGGTGCTATAGTAAACACACTTACTAGGATTTCAATCCTGCTGAAATCTGCTGTTGAGAAAGTCTTGTCTAGTAGAGAAGCTTAAGACAGGACCTTTATTTTGCGGACGTTGAGTCTGTGTGTGAATGAGAGGGAGAATGCATTTGTGATTGAGGAGAAGGTTTTTGCAATATTAGAAACTCAAATGTAGTCACTGAGAATATTGAAGAGAAGAAACAGCATGTTGGGCAAGGCTTAGAACCAGATAGGCATCCCTTGAAGGAAGAGATACATGGAACCCAAACTGATGGTCTTTACTACTAGTAGTAATACTTCTCAGGGTTTTTAAAAAAAACAAAAAATGAACAAACCACACATAGATTAGGAAAAAGGAGGTCCAGTCCAGATGCATGAACAGCAATGGTCAGAAATCCATCTTCTTGCAGTAGAACACCTGATGCAGATATTCTGGGTCAAAACTGAAACCCTACCTATATATGCATTTTCAACAGGAACTTGAAGAGGGAATCAGCAGCCATAAGCTCAGTTTCTCAACACTGAATAGAACAGGAGAGGAAATAATCCAGAAACTCCCCAATACAGATGGAAAGTTCCTGAAAGAAAAACTAGCTGGACTGTATAAACGCTGGAAGAACATCAATGCTGAAATCGTGGAAAGGCAACAGAGGTAAAAAGACCCCTCAGGATTTGAGAATATCTTAGTAGCAGTGGAGATAAATTTCTTTAAAGTTTGGAGATGCCAAGAGAAACTTCTCATATCTTTTTTTTAAAAGGTTTCCTAAGGCAGTTTCCTAAAACAGCTTTATAGCTGTTACTATACTATGCACTCTCCAGAATCACTCTGTGAATTAGATATGTGGTTTCTAAATGTGATTTATTTAAATCAAATATATAGCGTAGTGTAGCGTAGCAATATAATATAATATAATATAATATAATATAATATAATATAATATAATATAATATAATATAATATAATATAATATAATAATATAATATAATATAATATAATATAATATAATATAATATAATATAATATAATATAATATAATATAATAATATAATATAATATAATATAATATAATATAATATAATATAATATAATATAATATAATATAATATAATATAATATAATATAATATTGATACATTAATGTTCTTATAATATATAATATAACATGCATTTCTTTTATATTTTCCCTACTTTGGAATCTGAATTAATTATTAACTTACATGATTTTTTGGTTTACTTTGGAATGTTTCAACAGAAGAAAGAATATTCTGAAATTGCATTTTATTAATCACGGTTGGAAATTTCCTTGAGTGCTTCTTAGTAGGCAGGTGGTTAATAGGTTTGAAGAAGTCTTCTATCCAAAATGAACAAAATTGAGCTAAAAACAGATTTTGCATTAACATAAAATGTTAACACACGTATGCTGGAAAGTATTGAGATTCAAAACTATTTCCTCCTAGATCAGCGGTTCTCAACCTATGGGTCGCGACCCCATTTGGGGTCGATCGACCATTTCACGGGGGTCGCCAAGCAAGGCTGTCTGCCATTTTTTTGCCCTTTTCCGGCGGGTGCCTTACCTCCCTTGAGCTGGGCCAGCTGGTGGTCGGCCTGCTCCGTCTCTGCTGCTTGCCAGCTACGCCTCGGCCGGCGCAGGGGGCGGAACCACGCATGCGCAGCGCTCCCGGGCAGGTAAAGTCCTTGACTTACGACCAGTTGGGTAGTCCTCGACTTACGACTGGTTTAGTCCTCAACGTACGACCAGTTTAGTCCTCGACTTACGACCGGTTGGGGGTCGCGGCATTAAAAAGGTTGAGAACCACTGTCCTAGATGATACCTACTATAAAGTCGGTATTCATACACAGTAATATCAAAACTATATTAATATAGTTGAGAACCACTGTAGTGTAGTGGTTAAGGCACCAGGCTAGTGAACCAGGAACTGAGTTCTAGTTCCGCCGTAGGCATGAAAGCCAACTGGATGAGTGTAGGCCAGTCACTCTTTCTCAACCCAACTCACCTCACAGGGTATTGTTGCAGGGAAAATAGGAAAAGGAAGAAACATTAGATACGCTCGCCATATTGAGTTATTTATAAAAATATTATGAAAATGTTTTTTCATGAAAAATAATAATTAAAAAATAGTTTTCATAAATTTTCTTAATCTGATGGAAGGCAGTGTGTCAATTCATTAAAATTTTTCTATCAGGATATTAAGTTTATGTTGTCCTAAGACTATAATGTATTGAAGAGATACAAATATTTTAAAAACTAAGGCCTGCATTTGAAGACTTTTGCATGAAATCACCTTTCTGCATAAGAAATGGAACCATTTAATGAAATTTGCATCATTAAGGCATATGGTTCATTCATTCTTATTTTTAATATTGTATGATATCATTTCTAGGCTGCTTAGTAAGCTATAGCAGGAATATTTTGCTTTTACATTTATTTTAATATTTATGGTGATTTTGTTTTATATTCCACCTTGGGAACTTTGATTCAGACTGAAAGGAAAAAATCAGCAATTAATAGACTTCACAAGAAAACTGGAAGAAATTAGTTGCTGGGTGGAAAATGTAGAAAATTCCCTGGATGAGAAACCTGCAATCAGTCAAGAAGAGAATTTACAAGAATTAATGGCAAGTAACATTAAAAATATTAAGCATTTTATTTATTCTATCTTGTTCCTTTTTGTTGTTGTTGGATAACATTTAGGACTACTCAAAGCATCTGTTGGTACCACAGGATCAAAAGCATAATCTGTAAGTCTCATACATAAACATGATTTCCATATAATTGCTAAGCTATATATTTTTCTGTTTTAGCTTAGTATAATGTGTTATGATAAATAAACTTATGGTTTATTTTATAATCTGTTCATTACACTAAATATTGGCTGTTTACGTTTTTGTAGCCGTAGAACCTGGAACTTGCTTCAGAATAAGTTTTTCATTGAATTTTTGTCGTCAATACTACTTAATGTGATTTTTTTTCTGTGTTCTTAGAATTTGAAGCATATTACTGTCCTGATTATATAGAGAGATAATTTTTAATTATCTGTCTTTATTCATTTAGGGTCTGATTAAGGAAATGGATATACAAGGAGAGAAACTTAAGTGGCTAAATAGAAAAGAAGCAGAGGTCGTTTCAAATACAAGCATTGGGCCTCAGGAAAGAGACAATATTTCTAATAGACTGAAGACCCTGAATATTAAATGGAAGAAGGTATATATTTTAACCTGTATGCATTAAAAATTGTTCTTTTAGTTGTGTTCATGCAAGATACTTGTTAGTTGTGACTCTGGGACAGAACTGGATAATTTATTTGATAAAGTTAGTGTTAAAATTCTGAATGAAATTTGCATTGTTTTAAATTTACAGAAATGATAGTTCATGATTTCCTCTTGTGTACAGCACCATGTATATGTTCAGATGGAGCTATTTTTGAAAATAATTTTAAAACACTTCTACGCTGTGGTATATTTTCACAATATTCAGTTTTTATATTAAGTTTCTTCAACTGTCCTTTGAAATTCAGCTGAAATTTCAGTTTCCAAAGCCTTCTTTCTTTCTTTCAACAACTGTTCAGAGCCACACCCACAAAACTTTGACATTGTTATAAGACTTCCCTAGCTCCCTGTAAGAAAAATGAAAACCTAACAGGCACAGGAAAAAAGCCCTGAAGTAGTCGTCATCTTGTAGATAGTTTTGCTGTATGTAGACTCTCTTTTTATTAGTGCGAGCATTCAGACAGATAACCCTCTCCTGCATTCTGATGTAATCTTGCAATTATTTATTTTATTCAATTTAACACTGCCTAACGTGTAATGACTCTAGGTGGTTCACAGGAAAATAGCAGGGATCATATTATATGGATTTTCTGATTGTACCACACTTTATCTACCTGCTTTTTCAATTTGGGAGATGTTCTTGTTGAAATCAACATCACACTGTTGAGTAATGTAAAAGTTCTTAGGCCCACATAATGAAACTGGATCAGTGCCCAAAAATATATCCTAGAAGAATACGTAAGCATACTTCATGATTTCCTCTTGTGTACAACAGAAGTATGGTGTGGTAGGCTTAAAGGGAAAGGAAGACTGAAACAGATATGAGCATTTCTAGGATACAGTATTTATGGTGTTCATGAAGGACTGAGAAAACCCAGGTTCTAATCTACTCACAGCTGTAGAAGCTCACTGAGTGATTTGTAATCAATCATTCTCATTGTCCAATCTACCAACAATTGTATGTTGGTTGGTCCTACAGTCAGCCAGCTGTTGAGGCTGGATTTGGCATTGTTTATCCAGCTATCAAATCCTTCCCCGGGACCTGGGATGGGCAGATGTTTCTATTTGATGATGTTAAAGATATTGTCAAAGGATGTTAGTTATTCTGAGTAATACTACTACTACTACCACTACTACTACTACTACTACTACTACTACTACTACTACTACTACTACTTATTATTATTATTATTATTATTATTATTATTATTGGGATAACATGAAGGGAAAACATCATGTAAGCAATTTACATGATGTTCTTGGAGGAAAGGTGTGATACAAATCCAATAAATCATAATTTCAGGAAGAATATTTGTTTTGGAAATTTCCCTTTGAATCTAATGAATTCCATTAAGTTCATTAAACCATTGAAGTGTTTAACTGCAGAAGAAAATGGTATTAATGATTGATGCCCCTTAGAGCAGCGGTCCACAACCTTTCTGGGCTGGTGGCCCGGTGGGAAAGAGAGGCAGGCACCTTTATGCGCACATGCACACACAAACTAATTTGGCTGCACATGCATGCACATGAATGGGGCCGCAAGCATGCACACTCTGCAAATGGGACTGCTAGCGCCGGCACAAAGCTTATGGCTCAGCTAGTGCCGGCGCGAGGCTTGGCCTGGTAGTGGGCCGCTGCCCATAGGTTGGGGACCTCTGCCATAGAGCATCTGCAGTATATGAAAAAGTCCCCAACCCTTTTCAGGACCAATTGCAAACCCCCTGATCTTCTGTAGGCTGTTTAGTGAAAGATTAATTGTCCTGCCCACAATTGTCTGTAGTAGCCTAATATTGTGCAATGGTACCCATAGTTTTTGGAATATAACAATTATTTTCCCCTCCCACAACACTAGGTGTTCAAGGAAGCACCCACCAGATTGAGAGAACTGGAGGGGTATGTTCATCAGCAGCATTTTGTGCCAAAGTCTTCTGGTAAGTCTTGAGCAGAAAATTGTCTCTTTGGAGAAACATTTGGGTATATTTTTGTCATCTTAGTAAAACTAAGTAGATAAAGAAGCAGATGTGATATATCTGTTTATTTTGATCTTGAAAACAAAGGATACTTTTACTTTAAAAGAGCATAAAATGTATTTTGAAAAATGCACTTGTAATGTATTCGTTTAACAAGAGAAAATAATTTGTTGTTGCACTTTTGAAAATTAGCACTTGTGTGTTTTTCCATATGCATGATTTAGAGGATCAGGAAGTAAATCTCGCTTATGAAAATCAATGGCATTTCATTGACTGCAAAATGAACATTTTCAATTGATTCCTTTTTCTTCTTCTCCTAAATAGTAAATTAAGATTAGCAGCAGGTTGCAAGTTTACCCTCGCTGGCGGCTTACTGCTGACTTAGTGTTTGAATGTTTCAGAACTGTTTTGAGTGTGATAATCAGGGAGTAGATTTCTCTCACCTCGCTAAGCTGTCAAATATTTGAGATTTTGCAAAAAAAATATGACAGCAGCAATCTTTCTAGTACCATTTTGTATCTAGAGGTTAGATTAAAAGATGAATTGGTGGAAATTTAGACATATGGAAAGAAGCTATTTTCAGAATTCTGTCTCTAACAGTAAAGTCTTGACAGTTTCAAACTGTTAGTGTAGAATAGAGATACAAGAGGACTAATATGAACTACAAGAGGTATCGTGTTGTTGTTTTTGCTTTTCCGATGTAAATAAATTCTAGATAATAAGTACAAGTTAAAATATCAAATAAATTATGTTGGTTGTTTAGGTTTCCCTGTTCTCCAGACAACAATGCTTATGTCTTCTGCCTCAGAAAATGTGGCACAAACTCAGCATCCTTTGGAAATCTCGACACCTGCTGATTTGGATCAGACTACGACAGAACTGGCTGACTGGTTGGCATTGATTGACCAGATGCTAAAGTCCAACATAGTTACTGTTGGGAATATTGAAGAAATCAATCGGACAATTGCACGCATGAAAGTATGTGATGTTCTGAGGTGAAACTATATTTTTTGGGAAAGCCTGAAAACATTTCAGAATATTTCTGTTAATCCCTTTCCCTGTTTTTGTTTTTGTTTTTGTTGTTGTTCAGTGAAATTCTGTCATGGTATTTCACAATTATGGAAAATAAATCCAAAGAAGAATTAGGGATAGAACATTCTTCTGCTTATTTTTAGTGGTATCAAAATTTTAGAGGTATCAATGACCAGTCAAAAAGACTGAATGCCTTTTTTGAATGTTCACCCAATTCTGCAAATTTTTTGCTTTGTTTTCCTTGCTTGAATCCTTCTTGCCCATGAATTTATTTTAGAGCAATTGGGAGGGAATTCAGTGGACTTTTTCCATTCTTGCTCCTGAGATATAAATCCATTTCATAGCAGCAGAAGAATATTTTGTGTGCAGTTTCTCTGATCACACTTTGTCATACTCTGTTAAGATATAGGAGTGCTGTCTTTTTTTCTCTGCCCCTAGGAAACTTCTGTGGAGCATTGATAGAGGAAAACGACCCATGCCTCACAGAGTCAGGCTGAGCATAAGTTTGCTAAGTGAAGGAGGTGCACACAGCTTTGCTTGATCAGGAGTGTGCACATTTGCTGTTAGTTTTCGTAAGAATCCCAGGAAACCTATAATGCATTTTAGAATACCTATTTCAGATTTTTTTTCCTGCAACCAGTAGCAGCATAATATAATACATTGACATTGTTCCAGGATCTAACTATATGCTTGTATGTATGTATGTGTGCAATTAATTAATTAATTAATTAATTAATTCCATTCATTCATTCATTCATTCATTCATTCATACATACATACATAGTGACTCTGGATAGCAAATAATCATAAAATCAGTTAAAACTAAGTGCAAACACATGCATAAGAGAGGGAGGGAAGGAGGGGGAGGGAGGGAGAGAGAGAGAGAGAGAGGAGGGGGGAAAAAAAAGAGATATTATAGCCATAAATGTCAATTCAGCCAGGAAACAGCTTTTAGCACACTTGGCGCCTTAGGCCTGGATATATAATCAGTCTTCAATGTCTTACAAAGGGCCAACAGGTTTGGGGTCATCCTAATCTCTGGGGGGAGAATGTTCTAGAAGACAGGGGCTATGGCAGAGATGGCACACCTCCTATCTCCACCAGCCAACGTTCCTTGGCAGATGGAACCCTTTGCATGGCCGACTTGCTGGACCAAATAGGATAGGTAGAAACAACTGGGTGGAGATAGTCCCTCATGTAACTTGGGCCCAAGCTAGGAGGTGTTTTAAAAATGACCAACAGCACTTTGAATTGCACCTAGAAGAATGCTGGATACAATTTCAGTTCACGCAGTAGTGATGTTACATGTGTCAAATATCTGACACCATTTATTATCTGTGCAGCTGCATTCTGCACTAGTTGAAGTTCTGAATGCTTTTCAAGGGGACCCCTACGTAGAGCGCATTGCAGTAATCCAATTGAGATGTCACAAGGATAGGAATGAGTTTGAGTCCAGGAATGGTGCAAGAGGCACATAACCTGAAGGTGTGCAAAGCTTCTAGTCATGGGTGCCACCTGCTCTTCAAGCAGGAACTGTGGGAAGTTTATGCCTTCAGATATGCATGATTCTATTATTGCTTTACAATAAACTAGAATTAGTTCATCTTGTGTTTCCTGTCTTCTTTACCTGGGACAGCTGACACTAGTCTTGCAAGTTATTATTATTCTGGTTCTTTGCACAGTCAGCCAGATGTTCAGACTGGATTTGGCATTTTTGTCCACCTATCAGGCCCTTCCCAAGGACCTGGGATTAGCAGATGTGGATATTTGATGGTCTTAATATTATTAGTGTTAACTTTCTCCACAGTCTCTAAAAAGGGGAAGTTGGAGACTGGATGAAAATTGTTTATATTAGTCAGAATGAGCAATGGCCCTTTAAGGAGATGGCACACCACCACCACCTTAAGAGCCGGTGGGACATTCCCTCTATCAAGGAAGAATTAATCACCACCCAGACCCAATCACTTGTTCTCTCCCAGACAGCTTTAACCAACCAGGAGGGGCATGAGTCTAACATAGATATGGTTGAACTAGCAGCTGTAAAAGCCTTGTCCACTTCCTCAGGTTCAATAGCATCAAAATTTCCCAGATAAGCATGCAGGACTCTGACCCTTTGGAGTAACCTTCAACTGAAGTGTTACTATTATCTACATATAGTTGCCACACATCCATTCAACTTAAAATAATTAAATTCAATTGAAATAGGTTAATTGCCTTGCTCAAGAATTGTTAATCATTGAGATCCAGCTCTAGGCAAGCTGTGATTGAATTTCAGGGGAAATGAGAATATTTCATACTGGCATTTACAATTGTGCCAACAGAAGTTAACGGAGAAATGGTTACAGAAACCTATGCTGACATTTTCTTTGCTACTGATATTAGCAACATATGGGTGCAATTAGTAACAAATAACTTGAGGATAGATCTGGGCATAATGTATCATAGACAGCAATGGACAAACTAACTGCTCATGAAAATATATTTAATTCAATTTAATAGGAAAATCTCATAACTTTTCAGCTGCCCTTTTTAGATGAAGAATTTGATTTAACATTTCATGGCCTTAAAATGGAGATGAGCACTGCCCCTTGTAGTCGACAATGACTGTGGAGTAAAATCCACAGGGATTCTTTTCCTTTCCATTTGGTTTAATAGCAAAGGGTGAGAAATAGGTATTTCTTTTTCAGTAATTTGCCATGAAAACAGTGTGCATGTGTGAATATGTCTATATACATATGTGTATATATGTATATGCGTGTGGGCATATGGAGAGAGAGAGAGAGAGAGAGAGAGAGATAGAGAGAGAGAGAGAGAGAGAGATGTCTCAAAAGTGCTTTTTCCAAAGGCAACTGGACAGTTTTTTCCTTGAGGAAGAAGAACAAAAACGTTTAATTTCTCATCCAAGAAACTTGATCAGTTGTGATGCGGGGAGCGGGGGGGGGAGAGGAGGTATGGAAGGACAGGTACGTGACAGTTGAGATGGGGTAGAGGGGGATGGAAAGATAGGTTCTGACCAGATGTTGGGAGGGGGGGGAGGATCAGAGAGTTTTAATCAACAGGGATTTCATTACAGCTTCTGCTGTAATAAAATCCCTGTTGATTAAAACACTCTGGCTGTATAGTGTCTAAAACTTGGGATCAAAATTGAGAACAAAATTCCTTGGAGCAGAGACACATAAATAATGTCTCTTGATATCCTAGGAAGAGATCACAGGAAGTATGAAAGTTTGCAGCTTTTTATGAATCAACATGAATTTTATACAGCTTTATTTCCACTCATGTTTCACTTTGCAAGAGCAAAATCTCTAAACTTACTGGGCAAATCTAATAGGTGGTTAGCCCTGTTTCAACTTTTTTAAATTGGTGGGCTCCAAGTGTAGATTTCTATAGGATTCCAAATTCCCAAACATCGTGACTTTACTGCCTGGGAATTCTGGCAACAATAATCTCAACACATCAGATCATGACTTCTGATTGGTCTGTCTATTATTTCTCTTTAATGCAGATTATGATGCAGAGCTTTTTAATGTAGATTATAATGTGATTAAGATACAGTTCTTCGTTAATATTTGAAGCATGGGTTTGAACAATTTTGTTTTTCTTAAACTCCTATCACTAGTATCATATTTTTATTCCATTATTTTACAGATAACAGAAGGTGATTTAGAACATCGACATCCCCAATTGGATTCAGTTTTTACCTTGGCTCAAAATCTGAAAAACAAAACATCAAGTTCTGACTTAAGGACAGCAATCACAGAGAAATGTATGTGCTTCTTGTTAGTAGACCAAAGAGTAGAGAGATGGGCACTAAAAATGATATAATAATATGGTAGACATAATCATTACGTTATTTATTGACAAAACAACAGATACAGAATGGAATGACCCAGGTGGAACTGGGAAGAATCTAACATACAGAGATGAAGACAGGGTTAATTCTGATAGGCAAAATGAAGAAATGAGAATTAAGATCTATAGCAGGGAGTCTCCAAACTTGGCAACTTTAACTCTTGTGGACTTCAATTCCCAGAATTCCTCATCCAAACATGCTGGCTGCGGAATTCTGTGAGTTGCAGTCCACAAGTCTTAAAGTTGCCGTATTTAGAGACCCCTGATCTATAGCAAGGTTTCTTGCTTAAAGTGTTGCTTGACATTGCTTATATTCACATCTTTGGATTTCATCAGTTTTAAAGACGAACAAACTGGAACTTGGAGATGCGAGTTTTAAAAAAGATTTACTAGATGTGTTTTGAACAGTGTTGGCAAATCACAAAATTAAAAATGTTAGATCCGGTTTTTATGTAGAATTTTTGTCTAATTTTCTTTTTATATACTGTATATATAAAAGTCATCACCTATATTGGAAGTTAATAAAAATGAGGGAAAAAAATACGCAGATGAAATAAGAGATATTTGGTAAGATAGTTTGGTATGAAAGATACTGGCACTAATTAAAATGCCAACATAATATTATCAAATTATCCATTTTCACTAAGAAAGGCATACTGTGTATTTTGGAGTGTGTGTTATATATGTAGATTTGACTTCCCTCCCCAAACTTACGGGAATGTATAATAGTAGATCTAGGACCCAGTGTTGGTTTGAATGCTTTTTTAAAAAAAATATTAGTGTGAATGGTAAAAAAGTGAAGATGGTGCAATATTTTCAGTGTTTTCTCATGAGACTAGATTTATCTTCTGTCTGTTTCAGTGGAGAAGGTTAAGAACCAGTGGGACGGTACTCAGCATGGGGTTGGAGTACGTCAACATCAGCTGAAATGCATGCTGACTGACAGCATGAAGTGGGACGACCAGAAGCAAGAAATGGAGAAGTTAATTGGACAATACGAGATCCATCTACATGCTCTCTTACAGTCTTCTAAAGAAAAGCTTACCAAACAAATTTCAGAAAACAAAGTGAGTTCAACCGTGCTTTCTAATGCAGAGCTGTGGTTCATAGATTCAGTTTAATGTCTTACTCCTGTCACACAGTAAATTTAGTTTAAGAAAAATAATGTGAGACAGCTCTTTCTGATACACCTGCAAATTGAAAAGTTTTATGAAAAAGACAGGCAGCAGGATTTCTATTTCTCATGTCTTGCGCTTTTCCTAGATACTATCCAGATTCTTTTCCATTTTTAGTTTGAAAAAGCAGCAAAACTTGGGGAATTGCCAAGTTAGGGCTGGGGAGGACAGGGGAAAGAGTGATTGTAGTGTTCGTGACCTTCGGCTGATTAAATTAAGAAGTAGTGAATGTGTCTTCTAATTAGATTAAAATGAATTTTCCAGAGAGGTATTGCTGCTTGCCTGACAATAAATCTCACCCATCCCTGTTGTAAATCTATATATTTATCAATTCAGAATCTTGATAGGAAGAACAGACTGATCTTTGCCATGCTTTTACCAGCTTGGGAACTTTGGACATTGTTTTTCACTGTTTAAGATGAACAGATTCTTTTCTGATTAATCCAGAAACATTAAATTTTTATCTAAAAATCTATACCAATCGTTGAACGGAGACATTACCTATTCTTGTGGGCACTTTGCTGCAAAATGTCATTGATTTAGTTCAATATATTGACTAAGCGTTTACTTGGAGTCTTAAACATTTTTTTTACCCTAACCTCTTACTCTCTCTCCTCTTCTGCCTGCACCATCTTTGTAGAGTTAGATGATTTTCTGCTTCTTTGCTAGCCCAGAGTTTTAATTTGTCTGGAGATTGATAACGCTTTGATCAAAACATCCATTGTCTTCCATAGCACTCTTAATCTGGTTACCAAATTAAACCATTTTCTGGGTCATTACAAGGTGAACTATATATGCTGGGCTCAAACAGAAGCATCAGTTTTTCTGAATACATTTGACAAGGAAAAAAAAAGAAAAAGCTAGCATTTGTTATTTTTCAATATCCTGTCAGTAATCTATTAGTTATACTAGATTCCCAAAATGATGTAAGAAGTTTGTTTGTTAATAAATTAGTAGACGTACAATATTTCATCCATAAGTTTATTGCCATGTTCTAACACTTTTCATCAGCTAACTGAATGATGAAATTTGTACTGTAAGAGATCTTCCTGGGTGATATGGACTAGTTTTATATTGATATCAGCCAATCTGAAGAAATAAAATAACCTACAAACTTTTAATATTGGACTACACTGTTAGAAAGATTAAAAAGGAACACATTGGAGGATTCCGTGATTTTAAAATTATGGTTCAAAGGAATCGGAATATAAATGCCTGCCCCAGAATCTACAAAATAGTTCTTAGAGACTGGTGATAACAATTGTTTACAGGAGCATTCTTTTAGTCACCAGGCTAGAAACCAGGAGAGTGCGAATTCTAGTCCTATTTTAGGCACAAAACCTAGCTGGATGACTTTGGGCCAGTTACTCATTCTCAACTCAACACACCTTACAGCAGTGTTTCTCAACCTTGACAATTTTAAGGCATGTGGACTTCAACTCCCAGAATTCCGCAGCCAGCAGTGCTGGCTGTGGAATTCTGAGAGTTGAAGTCCACATGCCTTAAAATTGTCAAGGTTGAGAAACACTGCCTTACAGGGTTATTGTTGTGAGGAAAATAGAAGGAAGAGGCATTGGGTATATTTACTGCCTTGAGTTCCTATTTTTGTATTGTTGCCTGAAATTGTATACAAGAATGCAAACCTAGTTTTCCTTGGCTCTAGATTTGTCATTCCTATAGTTTCCAAGGAATAAACAATCAACCTGACATCATATAAGAGATACTATTTCTTATCTTTATTTTTTTTTTACAATGAATGGAATACTTTGCATTCTTAAAAGCTTACGGATTTATCAAAATCTAACTAAAATTTGCTTTCCAAAAAGCTACTGGAATACAGAAGAATAATCTGGGGAATCTGNGATTTGTCATTCCTATAGTTTCCAAGGAATAAACAATCAACCTGACATCATATAAGAGATACTATTTCTTATCTTTATTTTTTTTTTACAATGAATGGAATACTTTGCATTCTTAAAAGCTTACGGATTTATCAAAATCTAACTAAAATTTGCTTTCCAAAAAGCTACTGGAATACAGAAGAATAATCTGGGGAATCTGGATAATTAATTAAATAAAACATATTTTTCTTACTATTTTGATAGATTCCCTATAATTGGAAAGCAACAATGTTTCGTTTCTGCTAATATTTGTATCTGTATTTATCATTCCAGGGTAATGTTTGATTGTTCCACTGATAGTACTATACTAGATTTTCCTATAGAAAAATCAAACCATAAATAATTATTGAAACATAATATGTCAATAATCTTACTAAGAAAATAAAGGAGTCAAGAATAAATAATATTTTTTATTACAAACCTCTATTTATTCTTATACAAATCATAATATATAATGATTCACCAGCATTGTGTTTCTGCTATATTTAGAAAATTAATGATTTATAGAGCTTTTATGCTCTTTTTATTTGACATTTCTGTGTTTTATTTATGAGAGTCTAAATAAGAAATAAAGTTATGATTTCAAAAGTAAGTACCGGTAAGCTTTGTAAGTAAGTAAGTAAGTAAGCTTTGTTTGTATGTTGACCATACCTATTTATGGAAAGTAGTGCTCTATTACTTTAAGACTAGGAAGGAAATATCTGAAAAATATCAGTTGTTCATATTTGTAAAATAAAGAAAAGCCTCATGAAAGCATTTAAAGATTATCCATATATCCCTTTTTAAATAAACCCCTTTATCTTTCTCCTTGCTATCTTCAGTTGCAAGCCTCTTGAGCAGCACCTTTCTGACTCAGAATGTTTTTTTTCTGCTAAAGTTGTAAAATGTGATTTCAGCAATGCTAGCAGATGCTCTGTAAAAAGATTCAAAAATTAAATTCCAGGTCTCTGCAGAGTCTGCATTCTGCTGAGGGCTTTTGTTTTAGATCAGTGGTCTCCCAATTTTTTAAATTATGCACTCTTATCAATGTTTTCTTTGGGCATTTACCCTTAATGTATGTATGTATGTGTATTTGTGTCACACACACACACACACTCACTAGGAAATAACTGCTTTGCTCTCAACTTCATAGTGAGGAAAAGGTGCAGTTAGAGAAACTCCAGAAAAGCATAAATTGTTTTGGTGTAGGTTGTGTCTCAACATAGCAAATGATCTCGGAATTATCTCTTTCTCTCTATATGCCCTCTAGGGTGCAAACTCAATTTAACCCATTTGAGTTTTTCTGCTTTCTTTCATTTTCTGCAGTTTTGGCACATTGGTCAAATCGTACTATTGTACAGTTTCTGAATCTTCAACCTGCTTTCTACTTTTGTTATCTTTCCCTTTGTTCTGCTGTTTCTTCATAAATTCTGTTGAGTGAGTTTTGCTCATAACTTAATTTCCCAGTTTGCCTGCAGCCCAGTTATTCTAATGAAAATGTTCAGTATAAGCCAGATATTTCAGCCTCCACATTGGTAATCTTGCAGATTCTCTCTTCTCCCCTTACTAAAATGTAGGAATTAGCTTTCCAGAAAAAACAGTTACTAGAAATAATGTTCTATTCCTACAACGGGAAAAATGAATATGACCTGAATTTTCATTTGTATTATTTGTTGCAACAGTTTATTTTGCTTGACTTAATAGAAATGATGATATAGATGTTGTTCCTTTGTTGCAAAAAGGTGGAAACCATTCATTCCCATGGGTTCTACCATTAGGAACTTGATACCCACCCCCCAGGGGTTGCTAAAATTTGCTGGTTTAGTCAATATCATAAACTTTTAATATGAAGCAACAACTAAATGATTAGAGATTTTTGACTACTATGTATTTACTTTTTAGATATTATTGCAAGATCTAGATAAAGGAAATGCCAGGATGATTTCATTTAATGATCTGTCAAATAAACTTCTTCAAGATTACAGTGGTGATGACACAAGAAATGTGAAGGAAATTATGAATCACCTGAATACCTCATGGATTAATCTGAAACAAAGGTATGCATGTCTAAATTACACATACGTGCGCTCACCTCCATATTTCTAAAATGTGAAGAATAGAAATTATGCTACTGGGACGCAATATATGATTTAAACTGGGGACTGTTTTTTATCATGACATGTATGATTAAATCAAAAAGGCCTCACATTTCTTATAGCTGTGGCAAGATAGAATGTAGCCAATCAGTCATCTGTCTCTTACACAGGTTATCCTCGAATTACGACTACAATTGAGCCCAAAATTTCTGTTGTTAAGTGAGACACTTGTTAAGTGAATTTTGCCCCGTTTTACGATGTTTCTTGTTTCAGTTGTTAAGTGAATGACTACAGTTGATAAATTAGTAATCTGGTTGTTAAGTGAATCTGGCTTCCCCATTGACTTTGCTTGGCAAAAGTTCACAAAAGGTGATCACATGATCTTGGGACACAGCAATGGTTATAAATATGAACCAGTTGCCAAGCATCTGAATTTTGATCACATGATCATGGGGATGCTAGACAGGTCATAACTGTGAAAAACAGTCATAAGTCACTTTTTTCAGTGCCATTGTAACTTTGAACAGTCACTAAACAAACTGTTGTAATCGAGGTCTATTTGTAATTCTTAGACTCCTAATATTAGTTTACACAATCTTCTAATGAAGAGGCATATATTTCTTAAATTAAAAGCTGTACTACTGAGCATCTGGAGATAATACAACTTTGGTTTTATA